GGCTCCCAATCAGAGATAACGAGCCGACAGCTGTCACTCGTTACCTCCGATTGGGAGTCACATGAATACAAACAAGGAAGACAACCACCTAGACACCCCAACCAAACAGCACACAACAAAACGAACACACCCTATACCCAACCTAACCCACACAACACCCAACAATACAAACACACCCTGGTTCATAAACAACGTCCCGGAACCAGAGCGTGACAGTTACATTTTAGTCGTTTAGCAGACACTCTTATCCAGAGCGACTTACAGTTAGTGAGTGCATACATTATTTTTGTAAATAATTTTTTCATACAGGTCCCCCGTGGGAATCGAACCCACAACCCTGGCGTTGCAAACGCCATGCTCTACCAACTGAGCTACATCCCTGCCAGCCATTCCCTCCCCTACCCTGGACGACGCTGGGCGAATTGTGCGCCGCCCCATGGGTCTCCCGGTCGCGGCCGGCTACGGTGAACCTCATATAAACCCCTCATACTTGGCAGGTATAGTTTGCTTTTATTTTATATCACTCAAATATCCAATTAATTGTGGCCAATATTGAGAGATATCATGTGGCTAACCTAACTTAGCTGAAATTACATGATCAATTGATGTTTACTGATCATGAAAAGCATGCAGTTACAATACTTGCTGTATAACTCTGATGATATACTGTAGCTAAATATGCGCAACTGTTTTGCATAAAATAATCAAACATTTGTAGTTCTGACTATGCTCTGCAAGAGGTGATGATATTTCAACCATATAGTTAACATTTATTTAACAATCCCTTGAAAACGGAGGCAGTTGTCAATAGTTTTAGCGGAGCTGGGGGTCTCCTTGCGCCCCAGCAGGCAAATCGAACGCTCTGCACTTTATGTGATGTTTTATTGATAACAACCTATACATTGACCCCGTTTCAGTATGTTTCAATAAGACATTTATCTCGTGTTTTGTTTTTTTTAAACAGAAAGGCTATCTCCATGCATTCCATACCAATGGAGTGGAAAGGTAAATGTTAGGATGTAAAATGAGCTTATGGTAGAGGCAGAGCCAGGTGTAGACCCAAGGTAGACATGTCGGTGCAGTGTCCTACTGAGTACACATACAGGCAGGTACGAATGCACGCAAACTCACACACACACACACACACACACACACACACACACAGCTCTTTCACCTGCGTGAATAAAATGTCAGGTAAATAAACAAAGAGAATGAGCATGCAATCTATTTTTTCCTGCTATGTGTTCAAGGTTCTGCCAGGGCAGGATATCACCTGTCACCTATCTATCATTTCTATCCATCACTTCTCTCTTTATCTATCACGCTCTCTCTCTCTCCATCCATCACCTCTCTCTATCTATCCATCATCACCTCTCTCTCTATGCACCACCTCTCTCTCTCTATGTATCACCTCTCTCTCTCTCTCTCTCTCTCTCTCTCTCTCTCTCTCTCTCTCTCTCTATCTCTCTATCCATCAATTATCTCTCTCTCAATTCAAGTATACATATAACAGAAATGGTGGGACCAACAGCAATAATAATAGTAGTAGTGGAAATGGGATTACCATTAACAGCAACTACAACAACACTATTATTGAGAATAATAATACATTAAATAAATAGTAGTCCACCAGTCTCAACATGACTGAGAAGACACATTACATGGTATGAAAGCCAAAACAAAACAGGAAATATTATTGACATCACATTACACTTTTCACTGGCTGTCCCTCAGGTTGTGGCAGGAGGACACATACAGTGGGGGAAAAAAAGTATTTAGTCAGCCACCAATTGTGCATGTTCTCCCACTTAAAAAGATGAGAGAGGCCTGTAATTTTCATCATAGGTACACGTCAACTATGACAGACAAAATGAGAAAAAATTATCCAGAAAATCACATTGTAGGATTTCTAATGAATTTATTTGCAAATTATGGTGGAAAATAAGTATTTGGTCACCTACAAACAAGCAAGATTTCTGGCTCTCACAGACCTGTAACTTCTTCTTTAAGAGGCTCCTCTGTCCTCCACTCGTTACCTGTATTAATGGCACCTGTTTGAACTTGTTATCAGTATAAAAGACACCTGTCCACAACCTCAAACAGTCACACTCCAAACTTCACTATGGCCAAGACCAAAGAGCTGTCAAAGGACACCAGAAACCAAATTGTAGACCTGCACCAGGCTGGGAAGACTGAATATGCAATAGGTAAGCAGCTTGGTTTGAAGAAATCAACTGTGGGAGCAATTATTAGGAAATGGAAGACATACAAGACCACTGATAATCTCCCTCGATCTGGGGCTCCACGCAAGATCTCACCCCGTGGGGTCAAAATGATCACAAGAACGGTGAGCAAAAATCCCAGAACCACACAGGGGGACCTAGTGAATGACCTGCAGAGAGCTGGGACCAAAGTAACAAAGCCTACCATCAGTAACACACTACGCCGCCAGGGACTCAAATCCTGCAGTGCCAGACGTGTCCCCCTGCTTAAGCCAGTACATGTCCAGGCCCGTCTGAAGTTTGCTAGAGTGCATTTGGATGATCCAGAAGAGGATTGGGAGAATGTCATATGGTCAGATGAAACCAAAATATAACTTTTTGGTAAAAACTCAACTCGTCGTCGTGTTTGGAGGACAAAGAATGCTGAGTTGCATCCAAAGAACACCATACCTACTGTGAAGCATGGGGGTGGAAACATCATGCTTTGGGGCTGTTTTTCTGCAAAGGGACCAGGACGACTGATCCGTGTAAAGGAAAGAATGAATGGGGCCATGTATCGTGAGTTTTTGAGTGAAAACCTCCTTCCATCAGCAAGGGCATTGAAGATGAAACGTGGCTGGGTCTTTCAGCATGACAATGATCCCAAACACACCGCCAGGGCAACGAAGGAGTGGCTGGAGTGGCCTAGCCAGTCTCCAGATCTCAACCCCATAGATCATCTTTGGAGGGAGTTGAAAGTCTGTGTTGCCCAGCGACAGCCCCAAAACATCACTGCTCTAGAGGAGATCTGCATGGAGGAATGGGCCAAAATACCAGCAACAGTGTGTGAAAACCTTGTGAAGACGTACAGATAACGTTTGACATGTGTCATTGCCAGAAAGGGTATATAACAAAGTATTGAGAAACTTTTGTTATTGACCAAATACTTATTTTCCACCATAATTTGCAAATAAAATCATTACAAATCCTACAATGTGATTTTCTGGATTTTTTTTCCTCATTTTGTCTGTCATAGTTGACGTGTACCTATGATGAAAATTACAGGCCTCTCTCATCTTTTTAAGTGGGAGAACTTGCACAATTTGTGGCTGACTAAATACTTTTTTTCCCCACTTTATTTGGCTTTTCACCCAATAAATATTTGCTTTTTTCTTCCTCTTTTATAGTTTCAAATTCTTTGTACTGAATTATAATTTTGGGAAAGAAAGATTCTCTTAGGTCTGAGTATTTGTCACAGTGTAATAGGAAATGCAGATCTGTCTCTACTTCTCCCCGGGGGCAGAGTAAGCACAGCCTGTCCTCTCTGGGCAGCCAGGTTTAATCAAACAATTTTTCATTATCTATTCTTTTTGGTTTGCTCTTATGTTTCTTTAGATTAGCCAAGGAGGCTAATTTGTCAAATATAAAGTTTATGTTCCAAACGGCCAAATTTACACCTTCATTGCTGTAGGAGAATGTTAAGGCTAAAAAGTTGTCCAGGAGATTGTATTTTTTGGCAACTAATTGCTTTTTGGTAGATTTCTGTACTGTTTGCACTCCATCTATAGGCCTGTTTAGTACCATGCAATTTATTGGGCCGTGATGCTTCATGGTTGGGTTCTGCTCTTCTCAGATACACTGTGATTTTACTGTGGTCTGAGAGAGGTGTTAGTGGGCTGTCTGTGAAGGCTCTGAGAGACTCTGGGTTGAGGTCGGTGATTAAGTAGTCTACAGTACTGCTGCCAAGGGATGAGTTGTAGGTGTACCTACCAAAAGAGTCCCCTCTTAGCCTACCATTGACTATGTACAGACCCATTGTTCGACATAGCTTTAGGAGCTGTACTCCATTTTTGTTTTTCACTTTGTCATAGTTGTTTCTGGGGGGGTATGTGGGGAGGGAAAGGTTGTTGCTTCCCGGTAGGTGTTTGTCCCCCTGACTGTTAATAGTGTCTAGTTCTTCTGCTGTTCTAGCATTCAGGTCTCCACAGACCAGCACGTTGCCTTGGGCCTGAAAGTGACTAATCTCACTCTCTAGAATGGAGAAACTCTATTTATTGAAGTAGGGTGACTCTGAGGGGGGAATGTATGTGGCACAGAGGAACACATTTTTATCTGTTAAGATAGCCTCCTTGTTGATATTTAACCAGATAAATAATTCTCCTGTTTTGATCAATTCGATTTGAATTAGTTAGTTCAGATTTGTACCATATTAGCATTCCCCCTGAGTCTCTGCCCTGTGTGATTCCTTTTAATTTGGTGGATGGTACGATTATCTCCCTATAACCTAGTGGACAGCCAGTGGAAACATCACCTCTGCACCATGTTTCCTGTAGTACTACATTATCAACATCATCAATTTCTTTAAGGAAGTCTGGGTTTCTGCTCTTTAGCCCAGAAGCAGAGGACTTCAATCCTTGTAAATTCCAACATGCAAAGTAAAAAGACTTTAATCTGTTTTTTCTTTATCTTCAAAATGAGATAAAAACTCACAATCCAACAAGAACTATTAAAATATGATTTTTCAATTAATGTAAACTCTTATTATGCAAATGTGATTTGTTTATCATTTAAGATAGCATTTGTGTCATGCCACTTAGGTGGATGTAGTGTGAGGATGGTGGAGTTCTTGTGCTCATCTTACCATGACTCTCGGCCTATCACATGTGAGCATAGTAGATTCAGCATTTGTTTGATGTCACTCATTTCGTTGGTGGGGGCTGGGCCAGTTGCTCCTCTCACAGCCTGTGCGTAGCTCTGCCTGCCAGGCTGTGGCTCCTCCAGGTGTGGGTCTGTTAGGCCTCATCTGGGTGGGTCTGAAGCTGGGCTGGGGTGGTCTGTGCTGCGCTGGCTGTGGTAGGCATTGAGGTTGGTGGTGCTGTGGCGGTGGCCGGCGGTTTCAGGGTGCTGGTCCGGGGTGTTGTCTTGGTGATCTCGGGGGGGAGGAGATTGCTCCACTGTTCCTGGGTGGAGAGGTTGGGCTGCGGTTTAAAGCGATGTCCTTGAGAGTCTTGGCAAGGATGGGGACTGTCTCCCTGTACAGGTGAACATGGTCATAGAGACAGTTCAGATCGAGGGTGGGATGGTGGGCCAGGTGTACATTGGGTCGCAGGGCACAGTCCCGGGAGAGGATGGCATTTATTCTTTGGATTGTGGCAGGGTGGAAGTCCTTCCTCTGTAGAAGGGTTGACACCACGATCCTTGAGTTGGGGAAGATTGCGGAGGCCTTCTCAATCACTCCCGGTAGTGAAGTCGCCACCCTCTCCTGCTGAGCACGCAGGTCGTTGCTTCCGGTGTATATGATTATGTGGCTTTGCGACGCGAGCTGGCCCTTATCAAGCAGCTCCATGGCACTCTGTGTTGTTGGGCACCACACCTTTCTGGTTTTGTGTCAAGGGAAAAGTTTTTTCTCCTGAACAAACTTCCCATTTGAGTCCTTCAACAGGACGATCTCAGCCAGTGTTTCTTCTGGACTGGAGGGTGTAGAGTGGGGGCTGGTGGGTGTTGGAGCTGGGGTGTGGCTGGTCTGTGCCGATGCCGCTGTCAGTGGGAGGCTGTTCTGTGGGCTAGGGGGGAGGCATGCAGCAGGCAGGGCTGGGGAGGCCTGGCTGGTTGAGGTGGGCTCCTCTGCTGTGTGTGAGGGCAGGTATTAGAGTGGTGATCTAGCTGCTCCTGCAGCCTGTCCTCTGTTCTCTTTCTCTCCTGCAGCTCCTCTCTTAGTGCGGTCAGCTCGTTATTTCTGCTCTGCCTGTCTTTTTGGAGCTTTCTCACCTCCTTTGTTAGATCAGCCAGCTCTCTCTTGAGTCCGTCTCTCTCTTGCTGAACTTCTTTCAGCTGTGTTGCAAGGCTGCTGTCCTGCTCTGTCCGCACCTTGGTTAGGAGCTCCTCTAAGGTGTGGATGTCTGGTTGCCGTTTGCTCACACTCTCCCTGAGCAGGACCACCTCCCCCTCCAGTTTGGTGAACTGATCCCTCATGGCAGCCATGGTGGTGAGGAGGGCCTGAGCCTGCTCTGCACTGAGGGGGTCGCTCTCCTCCTGGGGCGTGTCCTCCACTATGGTGGGAAGAGAGGTGCTGGATGTGCCTTTTTGGGTGGGGATAGTGGGGGTGAGGGTGGTGCTGGTGGAGTTTGTCTTGTGGGAGGGCATGTCACTGGTGGTGTCCTTCTCTCTCTCCGCTCTCTCCTTAATGGTCTGAAAGTCTGTTTCAAACAGCCTAAGGTTACCTTGCACCATGACAGTCCCAGTCTTGTAGAGGTTGATTGTTATCATGGTGCTGTCAGGGTCGTCTGTCTCTTTGACTTTCAGCTTCCACCCATTACAGATTCCCTCTTTCTTTATGGATGGGTAGTGAGAGCAGACTGCTGAGCGCCATGCATTTGGCTGGTCAGTGAGAAAGATGAGATTACTCACATCACCGTTTTTGTAGAGGTCTGCGAAAAGGGTTTCTGGCCTCCCCTTTAGTAATTTCTGTTTAAAAGCTTTCCTCGTTGTGTCATTTTTGGCCTCTGGAGGGTAGAGAATGGACTCAGCATTGAGGGGGAGTGGGGACATGGTGCCTGTGGGCTTTGCTACTACTGCTGCTGCTGCGCTGTTCTGCTGCACCGTTGCCATGGGAACTGGTTTTGTTTGTCTGCTGCTGTTGCTAGCTATCTCTAATTTAGCTCAAAAACCAGCAAAAATAGTGAAACATTTTCACACAGAAAAACAGAAGATATGTTTAAAGTTAGAATCAGTGCTCCTTTTTGATTTACTCATTCAGTTTGGTCGTTTGATGTAGTTAACTCCCCTTGCTAGGTTTGTTCTAGCTCAATTTTCTGGCTGGCTTGTTAGCCTGCTGGCTAGGTTTTTGTTTTGTGCTAGTGGGAAAACTTTTAATTTGGCGCAAAGTTTTGATTGAAAGAGTTGTTTTTTAAAAGGGCGAAACTTAAGGGGGGCCCCTTTTAAAAACAAAAAAAGGGGGAAAAAAGGCAAGGGAAAAAGGGGGGGGGGGGCCCCCCTTCTCCCCCAAATTTCCCCCCCCCCCCTTTTTTTTCCCCAAAAAAAAAAAAAAACCCCCCCCGAAAAGGGCCCCCCCCCCTTTTAAAAAAGGGGGGCCCCCAAAGGGGAAAAAAAAAAACCCCCCCCCCCCCCAAAAAAAAAGGGGGGGGCCCCCCCCCCCAAAAACCCCCCCCCCCCCGGGGCCAAAAGGGCCCCGGGGGGGGGGGGAAAAGGGGGCCCCCCGGGGGGGGCCCCCCCCCCCCCGGGGGGGGGGGGGGGGGGGGGGAAAAGAAAAAAAAAAAAGGGGGGCCCCCCCAAAACCCCCACCCCAAAAACCCCCCCCCCCCCCCGGGGGGGGGGAAAAAAACCCCCCCAAAAACCCCCCCCCCAAAAAAAAAAAAAAGGGGGGGGGGGGGGAAAAAAAAAAAAAAAAAAAAAGGGGGGGGGGGGGGGGGGAAAAAAAAAAAAAAAAAAAAGGGAAGGGGGGGGGGGGGGGAAAAAAAAAAAAAAAGGGGAAAAAAAAACCCCCCCGTTCCCTTTCCCCCCATAAACCCCAAAACCCCAAAAAATTTAAATTTTTTTCATCAACTTTTTTTTCAAATTTTTTTTCCCCCCCCCCTTTTAAAATTAAAAAGGGGCCCCCCCAAAAAAAAACCCCGGGGGGGGGGCCCCCCCCCCCCCCCTTTAACCGGGGCCCCCCGCCCCCAACCCCCCCCCCGGCCCGCCCGGCAAACCCCCCCCACCCCCCCTTTTTTTAAGTTCCCCCACCCCCCTCTCCCCTTTTTCCCCCCCCCCCCCCTTCCCCCCCCCCCTTTTTTCCCCACCCCTTTTTTTCCCGGGGCCCCCCCCACCCCCCTGGCCCCCCCCGGGGGGTTTCCCCCCCCCTTTTTTTGGGCCCCGCCCCCCCCCCCCCCCCCCCCCCCCCCCAACCCCCCCCCCCCCCCACCCCCATTTTCTTCCCCTTTTTTTTAAAATTTTTTTAAAAAAAAAAAAGGGGGAAAAAAAAAATTTTTTTTTAAAAAAAAAAAAAAAAGGGGGGGCAAAAGGGAAAAAAAATTAAAGAAAGGGGAAAAAAAAAAAAAAATTTTGGGGAAAAAAAAAAAGGGGGGGGGGGGAAAAAAGTTTTTTTGGGGGGGGGGGGGAAAAAAAAAAAAAAAAAAAAAAAAAAGGGGGGGGGGGGGGGCCCCCCCCAAAAGGGGAAAAAAAAAAGGGGGGGGGGGAAAAAAAGAGAGGGAGGTAGGGAAAAGGGGGGGGAAAGAGGGGGGGGAAAAAAAAAGAATTGATAAGGGGAAGGGGGGGGGAAAAAAAAAAAAAAAAAAAATTTTAAAAAGGGGGGGGAAAAAAAAAGAAACCCTTTTTTTTTTAAAAAAATTTGGTTTCTTTAAAAAAATTTTTTGATTGATTTAAAATTTTTTTTTTAAAAATTTATAAACTTCTTTTTAAAAAATTTTTAATTTTTCTTTAAAATTTTTTTTTTTTTTATTTAAATTTTTTTTTTTTTTAAATTTTCCCTAAATAAATTTTTTTTTTTTTTTTGCTTAAAAAAATTTTTTTTTTTCTTTTCTTTACCCCCAAACCCTTAGGACCCTTCCCTTTTCCCCCAATTTTAAAATTTTAATGTTTTGTTTTTATTTTCTTTTAAAAAAAAAAAAAAAAAAAACAAAAAAAAAAAAAAAAAAAAGGGGGAAAAATTTAAAAAAAATTTTTTTTAAAAAAAAAAGGGGAAAAAGGGGGAATTACCCCCCTTTTAAAATTTTTGGAAAAAAGGGGGGGAAAAAGGGAAAAAGGGAGGGGGGGAGGGGGAGAAAAGGGGGGAAAAAAAAAAAAAAAAAAAACCCACCAAAACCCCCCCCCAACCCAAAAAAAAATCCCCCCCCAAAAAAAGGGAAAGGGGGGGGGAAAAGGGGAAAAGAAAAGGGTTTTTAAAAATTTTTGGGGGGGGGGAAAGGGGGGGCAAAGAATAAGGAAAAGGGGGGAAAAAAAAAAAAAAGGGGGGGGGGGGAAAAAAAAAAAGGGGGGGGATGGGAGCCAAAAGGGGGGGGGCCGCCCCGGGGGGAAAAATTGCCCTTTTTTTTCAAAGGGGGGGGGGGGGGGGTTTTGGGAGGGGGGGGGGGGCCGGGGAAAGGGGGGGGGGTTTAAAAAGGGTTTTTTTTTAAAAAAGAAAAAAAAGGGAAAAAAAAAAATCGGGAAAATTAGGCCCCCTTTTTTAAAAAAAAAGGGGGGGGGAAAAAAGGGGGAAAGGGGGGGGAAAAAAAAAAGAAAAAGGTGGGAAAGGGGGGGAAAAAAAAAAAGGGAAAAAAACCTCAAAGGGGGTTTTTTTTTCGAAAAATTTTTAACCCAAAAAAAGGGGGCTTTTAAAGGGAAAAGGGGGGGTTTTGGGGAAATTTTGACAAACCCCCAAACCCCCCAAAAACCCCCCCCAAAAAACCAAACCCCCAAAAACACCCCGTGGGGTTTTGGGTTACAAGAGAAAAAAAAAAAAAAAGGGGGGAAAAAAGCCTTTTTTTTTTCCCGACCCAAAAAAATTTAAAAGGGACACAATGCTTTATTTTCCCCTTTTGTTCAAAACAGAGGATGGAGGGGGGGGGGGGAGGGGTGGAGGGACGGAGGCAACAAGGGATGAATCCCCCTCTCTGGTATTCCAGGCCCCTCGGCACACTGAGACTTTGTGAAATGGAAAATCTGGAGAGGGGGAAAAGCCCCTGAGCTAAAATTCCCCGGGAAATTCCTTTAAGGAGGGGAAAAAAGAGGAAAAGAAAAAAGAAAAGAAGAAAAAGGGAGGGAAGAGAAAAGAAAGAGAGATGGGAGAGTTCAACCGAAGGGGGTTGGATTCGTCTTTAGACTGACACGGAAACTTTAGCACCTATTACCTGAAAACTACACCCCAACCATCCATCCATGAGGCCAAAGGGGTATGTTTTATGGCAAGTATACGAGGGCTAAGGGCTATTCTTAGGCAAGAGGAAAGGGGAATTCCATGCAACCCCAAAGTCAGTTTAGTCTATGATATACATAAATGACAAAGGATGTGGACACCTGTTTTTTTTGGAACTTTCTTCCAAAAAAGGGATTAATATGGATTTTGGCCACCCTTCTCTGCTATAAACCTCTACTTTTGGGAAGGCTTTCCCTAGATGTTGGAACTTTGGCGGGGACTTGTTTCCCATTACCCCAACACATTAGTGAGGTCGGGCAAAATTTGGGTCACAGCAGTTTCCCAAAATTAACCCCAAAGGGTTTGGGGGGTTTTGAGGTAGGACTCGTGCAGGCCAGTCAAGTTTTCCACACCGATCTCGACCAAAAACTTTTTCTGAGGACCCTTAATTGTGCGGGGGGGGCATTGTCAGCTAAAAAAGTAAAGGGGGCCTTCCCCAAAGTTGCCACAAAGTTGGAAGACAAATTGTTGAATGTCTTTGTTGCTGTAACGCAAAGATTCCCTTCACTGGAACTAA